TGATAATAATTTGATGCTGATGTGCCAAAAGATTAAGTATTTCCTTATTTGTGAAACAGATACCAAAGTATAACTTCACAAGATGCTCAACATTTCTCATTTTAACGCAGGGGGAAGACTGCTCTTTCTTGTAAGAGTTCTCATAAAATTACTACTTTATTCTCGTAATATTACGACTTTTTTCTTGTAATATTATGACTTTATTCTCGTAATATTACAACTTTATTCTCGTAATGTTACGACTTTATTCTCGTAGACCTAATATTATGACTTTATTCTCGTAATATTATGACTTTATTATCGTCCCCCCAAAAAAAGAATTTCTCTTAGTCTGGCCCTAATACTCCGTCGTAGTCTTATAAGTCTATCTTAAATAAGTTTTTGGCATTTGTTCTAGGCCCATTACAGTCTTTCAGTGGATAGATTTTTATACTTGTTTTAAGAATTCTAGCCAAGCAAAACTGACATAACCCATTGGCGGATTTTGTTGCTCAATACACGAAAATCTAATTAGATTTAAGAATATTTGTTTTGTTTCTAGAAGGGCTGTTTTTGCAGTGTATTATATATATTATATTAGTCCAACAAGTAGTGAGTAGACACTAGCACATACTGAAAAGTGACCCTTTCAGAAACCCAACTAGTAGAAAGATTACTAGTTCATTACTAGTTAATTTCAAACTCTGCCTAAATATTTCCAATTTACGTGATTACCTAGCGAAGTCAGATTTTTCTGAGAGGCTCATTTTTCAAGTGAGAATTTCCTTGTCATCATTGTACATACTGCTATACTATGATTAAGGGTAAATAATTCACCCACCCAAAGTCTGATGTTGACGCCTAACTCAGGGTAACACTGTTAAAATGTCAATGAAATTTGTATTATGTTTTGAAAACTAAACAGAAGTTAGAAACCAAATTGTGGTGTGCTTTTGGTTTTTCGTGTATTTCATATCATGTGAATCTGTGCCTTGTTGTGCTGATTGTGATGACCTATAATTAATCCCATCCCATGACTATTTCTAAAGATGTGATTTGGATTTTTTCTGAAGCCTAGGAGGTACTAAAATAAGATCTCTGAGCATTTATACCTCATAAATTCAAAAAAGATTGAATGCTCTGATAATGTGACGTTCTTATATGAGTGTGCCTGCTTTTCTCTATCAGCGGCATAGTGATGCAGAGGTGCTTCCCCCCATCCTGCACCCCCAACCCCAGTACACACACCAACATGTCAGTAAGGGGAGAACTGGTTATTTTTTACCACTTCAAGAACTGTTTGTGGACGTGAACAATCACAGTGAACTTCCTTCAGGCTGTGAGATTGTGAGTTTTCGTCAACAATTCATCATACAAATGAATAGTTCATTTTCATTTTTATGACTCATTAATAATTTTTTAAAAGTAGCATAAAGGTAAATAAATAAACTATATCTGATTTCATTGTACCACCTTGTGTTGTAAATGATAATAAAATAACCTTAAATCCTTGCAATATGATTGATTTTTCATACATTGCATTATTACAGTCTGGGAGACCACTGTGGGGCCTGTAGGGGTGCTAGAATTCTGGCAGTCCTAGGGTTAAGGGGAAAAAGGTAAGCATAATTTGCATTGTATTTTGGTGACAGAGGCCCTTTGAGTTTTTTGTTGTGTTTGTATGTGTGTGTGTGTGTGTAAACAAAGGTGTGGCATCTGCTCTGACCGTAGTAATGGCCACTCTGTAGTAGCTCTTCATCTGGACCCTGGACATCACCTCCAGCACCGCATCTACACACACACGCTCCCTGAAAAAATAATACAACTCTCTCCATTCTTTTTCCTTATTTTATTTTAGTGGA